TGGATGGACCTTGAGGGTGTTATGCTGAGCGAAATAAGTCAGGCAGAGAAGGACAAATACCATATGTTTGCACGTATAGGAGGATTAGGAGGAACTTGACAGAGGAACAAGGGGGAGAAGAAGGGCGGAAATGGTGGGGGAAAGGGAGAGAGGCAAACCATGAGAGACTCTTGAATGCTGACAAAAACTGAGGACTGATGGATGTGGGGGGGAGGGGGGGTGGGCATGGAGGAGGGCACTTTGGGGATGAGCACTGAGTGTTATGTGGAAACTAATTTGACAATAAACTATTTGTAAAAAAAAAAATAAATAAATAAAAAAAAATAAAAAAGAGTGTTGTGAGTCATTTTGGACTCACCTACTCTTCTCTGAACAGGAAAAAATAAAATAAAATAAAATAAAAGATGTAAAGAGAAAAAAAAATAAATAAAAAGATCTTGGTGCTACCACTGCAAAAAAAAAAAAAAAAAGTAAAACTTACTGTCTTTCTTTCTCCATTTTCTTTTTCATAGAGCGAGACAAGTAGCCAGCATCATGGAGGTAGGTGAAAATACTTTCTTGTTTCACTGTCCTGGGATCTAATGACAATTCTAATAAGATAACCCTCATTATAGGGAAGACATTAATCAAGATAGCATTCCAGCAGGCAAGAAAGAGTCCTACAGGGAATACATTTTCTTTTCCTGTGGAGTGACATGAGAAAGGTGTGTAGCCCCAGTCTAATGCTGCCAGCATTCCTAGCCCTCTAAACAAAGTCAGAGAAGCTGTTTGAGTGGTGTAACAGGGTAGAGGCAGCCAGTTTACCTACATTTCCTGCGAGGATTTGATCTTTCTTCTTCTACTTCTACAGTGAGTATCTCTGGGCCTTCAGAAATGAACCATTCTCTTCCTTTGCATAGCAGTTGCTTTGTTATACAGCCGGAAGAGAGGAGTGACATGATTCTGCAGACATCCTGTTCCTTCAGTCTCTCTTGTTCACCCTTAGTGTGTGGGTGCTGTGTTTGCCTTCTAGAGGCTCCAGTCCAATAGAGGAGAGAAATGGAGGGGTGCCTGGATGGTTCAGTCGGTTAAACGCCTGACTTTGGCTCAGGTCATGATCTCATGGTTCATGAATTCAAGCCCTGCATCAGGCTCTGTGCTGACAGCTCAGAGCCTCAAGCCTGCTTCAGATTCTGTGTCTCCCTCTCTCTTTGCCCCTTCCCCACTCATGTTCAGTCTCTGTCTCTCTCTCAAAAAAATAAACATTAAATTTTTTTTAAATACAAGATATGGAAACAGACTGTTATAATGCAATTAAAGATACTATAATACATGTATCTACAGAAACTTCTAGCAGTGTGAGAGAGGGAGGAATTGGACTTCTCTGCATTGTTGGTTGGAATACAGAGGTAGAAAATACAGCTTTTCAGTGAAATTCTACTCCATAGGGTACCATCGTACTGAAAACCTATTCAAATTTCCCATCATGTTATAGCACAGGGAAATTGATTTGCGAGAGCATCACAGAGTTTGTGTGACCTGCCCAGAGTCACACAGTTACTAAATGGGAGAGTCAGGTTCCTAACTCTAAAACCAACAGGATAAATTAATGGGATATGCTCTTTATATAATTGTCTGCAGCTATTTCTTTTACGGTCATTTACACAGCAGAAGTTAGACAAGTATATTGATGTGATCTGTAATCCAAATAAAATAAATGTATTTGCTAACAAGTCTTTTTTCTTTTTTTCAGGTTTTGAAGATGGTGCATTTAAATTGGACTAATCCCAAATCCTGAATTCTTTTTAGTGCTGATAGGCTTTTATGTTTCATGCATACAAATCATAAAGTTATACTGATGATAATACAAGTATAATCTACTTAATAATTTTCCCATGGGCACTTGGTCATTATATTTGCCCTGTCTAGGCATGTAGATGTAGTGGCAGGACTGGAAGCTTAGAGAATTCTCATGTTCACTATCAGACTAAACTCTTCAGTCTCTTCACTCAAAACTCAATAAGAATATAGCCATGCATGTTTAGAATTAGCTTCCAATTTGCATACCTTGCTGAGAATTGGGAAATGTTTTGAAAGATGATTATCAAATTATTGGAAATCTGTTGTAGCGGATAAGACATTTTCTATATAATATTATTTAATTCTTACATGTTGGAGCCATTGTTGCATATAATTTGACTTCTATTGATTTTGTTCCACTAATTAAAACAATGATAAAAACTTGATGTGATCAGTTTCTTATATATTACTCCCTCTGTTATCCCTTTGTTTTAAAACAGGAAAACAGTCTTCAAGTGTCACTTGGAGAAGAGTGTAAACCATTTTTATATAGGGCTTGGCTCATGGTGGAAGGGGCCTCAGTGATCTGGATTTTACAGATAAGGAATGTGATCTCAGGGAAATTAAATGACTTAGGGTGACACAGTGGTCTGTTGGTATAAAAAACATGCCTCTGAGTTTTAGTCAGTGTTCTGTTCCTTAAGCCAAGACACAAGGAATGTGCAGACTCTAAAAAGGAACAAAAATATCTGGAGGATTTTATATTTTAGCAAGCAATAGAGAAACTCTGTATGAAAAATAAAGATAGTTTATACATGTTGACCAGCTTTGCGCATTTGTTTATTTGACCAAGAATTAGAGTTAGCTAGTGCTAAGTACTCAGTACTTAGTGACTAGTGCTAAGATGAATAAAACACAATACTGCTTTTAAATGCCTCAGTTTAGTAAGGGGGCAGATATGTAGTCAAACAACTAAAAAGCGTCCTGAAAGGGGCACCTGGGTGGTTTAGTTAAACATCCAACTTCAGCTCAGGTCATGATCTCATTATTCGTGAGTTTGAGCCCTGCATCAGACTCCCTACTGTCAGCGCTGAACCTGCTTGAGATCCTCTGTCTCCCTCTCTCTCTGCCCCTCCTGCTCGCTCTCAAAATAAACGCTAAAGAAAATCCTGATGAAGAGTATAAGATAGGTATGCCTGAAGAATTACATGGTATGAAAATGTGTTCAGGGAACAAGAAACTTTAGATAGGTGTTAGAGAAACCATTTGTTTGAGCTGAGACTTGGTGGGTAGTGGTTCTCCTGTTTGGTGAGCGGAACCTGGGGTTTCCAGGCAGGGGGGCAAATTATGGGAAGTATGAATGTATGACAGGTATGCGTAATTCCAAACAGCAGAGCAAAGGTACCTGGGGAAGTACTTGCAGGAACTCAGCTGAGCAGATTGAGGGATGACTGATTTAGACTGGTACGTCTCCATCCTGGATGTACATTAGAATCATCTGTGGAACTTATTTTAAAAAATACTAGCTCTGGGATGTCTGGGTGGCTCAGACAGTTAAGCGTTTGACTCTTGGTTTCAGCTCAGGTCATGATCTCATGGTTCATGGGTTCAAGTACTGCGTCAGGCTCTGTGCTGACAGAGCAGAACCTGTTTGGGATTCTCTCTCTGTCCCCTTCTCTCTACCCCTCCTTGCCTCACTCTCTCTCTCAAAATAAATAAACTTAGAAAAATACTAGCTGTAAGAAATAAAAGTCTATTAAAAAGAAAAACAAACAACAACAACAACAAACATTTCCTGGGCTCTATCCAGACCAACTAAATCACAATCTCTAAGTCTGAGGCTCATTATCAGTGTTATTGTTTTTAAAATTAAGACATTATATTCCATTCATTAATAATGAAGTAGAAAGAAAAATTAAAACAATTCCATTTATAATTGCATAAAAAAGAATTAAGATACTAAGAATAAGTTTAACCAAGGAGGTGAAAGACCTGTATTCTGAAAACTATAAGACATTGATGAAAAAAATCAAAGAAAACACAAATGGAAGACATACCATGCTCTCAGATGAGAAGAATTAACATTGTTGAAGTGTCCATATTGCCTAGAGCAACCCACAGAGTCAATGCAATCCCCTATCAAAATACCAATGGCATTTTTCATAGAACAAGAACAAAAATCCTCAAATGTGTATGGAACCACAAAAGACCTCAAATAGCCAGAGTAACCTTGAGAAAGAACAAAATTGGTGATGTCACCATCCCAGATTTCAAGATATACTATAAAGCTGTAGTAATTACAACAGTATGGTACTGGCACAAAAATAGGCACATAGATCAATGGAACAGGATAGAGAGCCCAGACATAAACCCATATTTATGTGGTCAATTAATCTATGACAAAGGAAGTGAGAATATACAATGGGGAAAAGAGTCTTTTCAATAATTGGTGGGAAAACTGGGCCACTTTCTTAAACCACACACAAAAATATACTCAAAATGGATTAAAGACCAAAATGTGAGACTTGAAACCATAAAATTCCTAAAAGAAAACATAAGCAGTTTTCTTTTAAGCATTGACCCCAGCAATATTTTTCTAGATCTGTCTCCTCAGGCAAGGGAAACAAAAGCGAAAATAAGCAATTGGGATTATATCCAACTAAAAAGCTTTTGCACAACGAAAGAAATCATCAACAAAACAAAAAGGCAAACTACTGAATGAGAGAAGATATTTGCAAACAATGTCTGATAAGAGGTTAATATCCAAAATATATAAAGAACTTATACAACTGAACACCAACACACACACACACACACACACACACACACACACCCCAAAACCTGATTTTAAAATGGGCAGAGGACCTAAATAAACACTTTCCAAAGAAAGACATACGGTTGACCAATAGACACATGAGAAGATGTTCAACATCACTAATCAGGGAAATGCAAATCAAAACCACAATGAGATGTTATTTCGTATCAGTTAGAATGGCTATTGTCAAAAAGACAAGTAACAAGTGATGGTAAGGATGTGGAGAAAAGGAAACCCTCATGCACTGTTAGTAGGAATGTAACTTAGTGCAGCACTGTGGAAAACAGTGTGGAGATTCTTCAAAAAATTAAAAATAGGGGCATCTGGGGGGCTTAGTTGGTGGAGTGTCCAACTCTTCATATCTGCTCAGGTGATATCTGCTCAGGTTGTGGTCTCTCAGTCATGAGACTGAGGCCTTCGTTGAGCTCCATGCTCAGGGTGGAACCTGCTTGAGAGTCTCTCTCTCTCTCTCTCTCTCTCTCTCTCTCTCTCCCCCCCACTCTCTTCCTCACTCTCTCTCTCTCCCCCCCACTCTCTTCCTCACTCTCTCTCTCTGTACCCCTGCATTGCACTCTCTCTCTCTCAAACTAAATAAATAAACATCAAAAATTAAAAATAGAAATACCATACAATCCAATAGTACCACTGCTGGGCATTTACCCAAAGAATATTAAAACACTAATTAAAAAATTATATGCATCCCTATGTTTATTGCAGCATTACTTACAATAGCCAATTTATAAAGGCAACCTGTCTGTCCATAGATGAATGGATAAAGAAGGTATGGTGTTATGTGTGTATATATACATATATACATCTACATAGAAACTCAGCCATAAAAAAGAATGAAATGCCATCACTTGCAACAACATGGGTAGACTTAGAGAGTATTATGCTAAGTGAAATAAGTCAGACAGAGAAAGACTAAAACCATACTTTCACTTATATGTGGAATTTAAAAACAAACAGAAACTAAAAAAGACTCATAAAACCGAGAACAAACTGGTGGTTGCCAGAGGAAAGGGAGATGGAAGGTTAGACAAAATAGGGTTAGGGGATTAAGGGGATTATACTTCCAGCTATAAAATTAGTAAATCATTGGGATGAAATACACACCATAGAAAATATAGTCAATAATAATGTAGTAACTTTGTATGGTGATAGATGTTAACTACACTTATTGTGGCAAGAATTGCATAATGTATATGATTGTTGAATTATTAACATAATGATGTTAATAATGATAATTACATTGTATATCAACTATACTTCTTTTTTTTTTAATCTCCTTTTTAGAGTAGTTTGGGTTCATAGCAAAAGTGAGGGGAAGATACGGAGATTTCCCATATACCTATTTCCCCTAGTCTCACACGGGCAGAGCCTCCTCTATTATCAACGCGCCCCCCCCCCCCAACACACACACACCTACACTGACATAGTAAAATCACCAAGGTTCATAGTTTACCTTATGGTTCCCTCTTGGTGTTGTATGTTCTATGGGTGTGGACAAATATATAATGACATGTATCTATCATTATGTTGTCAGTATTTATTTCACTGCCCTAAAAATAGTTTGTGATTTGCCTTTTCATTCATCCCATCCACCTCCTTCTGCCCTCCAATCGCTGACAACCAAATGATCCTTTTTACTGTCTCCATAGTTTGGCCTTATGCAGAATATCATAAAGTTGTAATCATACAGCATGTAATCTTCTCAGATCAGCTTCTTTCATTTAGTAATATGCAATTAAGTTTCCTCCATGTCTTTTCATGAGTTAATAGCTCTTTTTTTTTTTTTTTTTAGCATTGAATAAAATCCCATTGTCTGGATGTACCATAGTCTGTTTATCCATTCACCTACTGAAAGACATCTTGGTAGCTTTCAAATATTGGTAATTATAATTAAAAAAAATTTTTTTTTTAATTTTTGAGAGACAGTGTGAGCCAGGGAGGGGCAGAGAGAGAGAGGGAGACACAAAATCCGAATCAAAATCATAAGCCCCTGATGCGGGGCTTGAACCTATGAACTGTGAGATCATGACCTGAGCCAGATGCCCCCCAAATTTTGGTAATTATAAACAAAGCTGCTATAAACATCATGTGTAGGTTTTTGTGTGGACATAAGTTTTCACAGTATTGTTTGTAAATATCTCTAGATAGGTCTAATGGGCAGCTAGGGTTTAGCTCTATTGTGTTAAGTCATAAAGCCCTTATTTTCTTTCTTTTTTTTATTTTTTTATTTTTTATTTTTTTATTTTTTTTACAAATAGTTTATTGTCAAATTAGTTTACACATAACACTCAGTGCTCATCCCCACAAGTGCCCTCCTCCATGCCCATCCCTCCTCCCCCCCACATCCATCAGTCCTCAGTTTTTGTCAGCATTCAAGAGTCTCTCATGGCCTGCCTCTCTCCCTTTCCCCCACCATTTCCCCCCTTCTTCTCCCCCTTGTTCCTCTGTCAAGTTCCTCCTAATCCTCCTATACGTGTAAACATATGATATTTGTCCTTCTCTGCCTGACTTATTTCGCTCAGCAGAACACCCTCAAGGTCCATCCATGTTGCTACACATGGCCAGATTTCATTGTTTCTCATTGCCATGTAGTATTCCATGGTATAGATAAACT